CAAAGCCTGATGACTCCAACCATGAGGTTCCCTTTTAGAAAGCCCTGGTGACCCAGATAAATGACTGCGCGACCTGGCTTTTCCCTTCCAAGGCTTTCATTCCCACTCTTCTGTCTTAAATTCCCCCATTCAGAATGAATCTACAAAGCCATAGGCAGCCCGCCCTTGACCCCAGTAAAGGCAGAACCCCGGCTCTGCACACGCTTTCTCTCTAGTTCTACCTATGATGTCACTGTGTGGCACCTGGTGTGCTGTGTACTCTCCAGAACCTGAGTAATACACCTTGGTTTTTCCAAGTTCCCTGATGGTTATTGCTGAGGTGTGTCTTGCAATCATAATAAAAACCACAAAAACAGGGCCAGCCACAACACTGACTCCAATGGGGAACTGTCTTTGTGGATTTGCCCCAGGAAGTCTGGGTCCAGGTGAAAGATTGATCTAAAACAAAAATGCAGATCAAAATTACAATGAGCTAGCAGTATGCATGTATCGGAATGGCTAAAAGTAAAAAAGAAAAAACAGTGACAATACTAAATAACTAACTAAGATGCAGAGACACTTAATCCCTTATATATTGCTGATGGGAAAGTAAAGGGGTACAGCCACTCTGGAAAAGAGTGCGACAGTTTCCCACAAAATGAAATGTGCGATTACCATATATCTCAGCAGTTGCACTCCTATGCATTGATCCCAGACGAATCAAAACTTCCATTTGTACAAAAACTTACACATGGATGTTAACAGTAGCTTTACTTGTAATAACCTAAAGCTGGAAATAATACAGATGTCCTTCAATGGGTAAATGGTTTAACTAACTCTGATGCATCCAGACCACAGAATCCTACTTTGCTTCAGAAAGGAATGAAGTGGGGCGCCTGGGTGGCTCAGTGGGTTAAAGCCTCTGCCTTCGGCTCAGGTCATGATCCCAGGGTCCTGGGATCAAGCCCCATGTCGGGCTCTCTGCTCCGCAGGGAGCCTACTTCCTCCCCTCTCTCTCTCTCTGCCTGCCTCTCTGCCTATTTGTGATTTCTGTCTCTCTGTCAAATAAATAAAATCTTAAAAAAAAAAGAAAGGAATGAAGTATTGATACATAACAACTTGAGTGGATCTTAAGGGCATTAGGCTTAATGAAAAAAAAATCTCAAAAGATTACATACTATATGATTCCATTTATATAAGATCCTTGAAATGATAAAACTATAGAGATGGAAAATAGATCAGTGATTGCCAGGGTGCAGGGAAGAAGGTACGTGTGTGTGATTATACAGGTGGAGTTCTAGGAAATTACTCTATGGTGATGGAACAGTTCTATGTCATAAGGGTAATGGGGGCCATACAAATCCGTATATGAGATCAAATTGCATGTATACACACACATCTACACACAATGAGTGTGCATTAAATGGTGAAAACTGAGTAAGGCCTATAGTCTAACAGTATTGCACCAGTGTCAGGTTCCTGTTTTGATACTGTACTCAATTTTACAAGATGTCACTATCATGGGAAGCTGGGTAAAGGGTCCAATGGGTCCAGCATCCTGTGAATCATTGCAAAATAAAAAGTATTTAAAAAATTTATCATGTATTTTTAAACTTACAAGCCACACATTTTTCCTTAAATTAAAAGGCTGATTTTTCTTAATTGTTACTTTTTCCAGATATAGTCATATACTATAAAATTTGCCAGTTATGGGGCACCTGGGTGGCTCAGTTGGTTAAGCGTCTGCCTTCGGCTCAGGTCATGATCTCAGGGTTCTGAGATTGAGCCCTGTATCAGGTTCCCTGCTCACTGGGAAGTCTGCTTCTCCCTCTCCCTCTGCCTGCCACTCCCCCTGCTTGTGCTCTCTCTCTCTTTCTCTGTCAATATAAATAAATAAAATCTTAAAAACTAAAAAAACAAAATCGGCCAGTTTAAAGTGTACAGTGTGGTGGGTTTTAGTTACTCACAAGGTAGCATAACCATCATCACTATTCAATTCCACAAAATTTTCATCATCTCCGAAAGAAACGCCATACCCATTAGCAGTCACTCCCCCCTCCCTGATAACCACCAATCTACTTTATTTCTCTCTCTGTCTCTTTATCTCTATATTTGCATATTCTGGACATTTCATAGAAGTGGAATTATGTAATACACAACCTGTGTTTCTGGCTTCCTTCAATTAGCATAATGTTTGCAAGGTTCTTCCATGTTGTGGCATGTATCAGTATTTCATTCCTCCTATGATTGAATATTATTCCATTGTACAGGTATACCACACTTTGTTTATCTATCCATCAATTGATGGACTTTTGGGTTGTTTTCATTTTTCTGCAATTATAAATAATTGCATATGATCACCCATGTACAAATTTTTGTGTGATGATGTACTTTCAATTTTGGGTGTTTGTACATAGGAGTGGGACTGCTGGGTCATATGATAACTCCTTGTTTAACTTTTTGAGGGAACTGCCAACTTGTATACCAAAGGGGCTGCACCATTTTACATTCCTAACAGCAGTGCCTGAGGGTTCTAATTTCTCCATATCCCTCAATAATACTTGTTACTGTCTGTCTTTTTTCATTATCCTAGTGAGTGTGAAATGGTTTCTCATTGTTTGATTTGCATTTCCCTAATGATTAATAATTTTGAGCACCTTCTCGATTGTAAATCCTATTTGGAGGCATGCCTATTCAAATTCTTTGCTCATTTTTAAAAAGATTTATCTATTTTTAGAGAAAGAGTGTGAGCGAGAGAGAGTATGCATCTGCCTGCGAGTTGGCGGTGGGGAGGGGCGGCGGAAGGGGGCAGGGACAGAGGGAGAGAATCTCCAAGCGGACTTCCCACTGAGCGCGATCACGGAGCCCACCCCATCTGGAGATTGATCTCCCAACCCACGATATCACAATCTGAGCAGAAACCTAGAGTCACACACTTAACTACCACTGGGTGACTGAGCCCCCTAAGTGCCCGCCTTTGCTCACTTTTACCTGTGCTGCCTTTTTGTCTTCGAGTTGTAAGAGTTCTTTTTATATTCTGTATGCTAGACTCTTATCAGGCACATGATTTGCACATTTCTCCTCTTCTGTGCTTTGATTTTCACTTTCTTGATCGTTTTCTTTGAAGCATAAAAGTGTTTAATTTTAGGGGCGCCTGGGTGGCTCAGTGGGTGGCTCTCTGCCGTTGGCTCAGGTCATGATCCCGGGATCCTGGGATGGAGCCCTGCGTCTGTCTCTCCACTCAGCAGGGAGCCTGCTTCCTCCTCTCTCTCTCTGCCTGCCTCTCTGCCTGCTTGTGATCTGTCAAGTAAATAAATAAAATCTTTACCAAAAAAGTGTTTAATTTTAATGAAGTCCAACTTACCTATTTCATCATTTGTTGTTTGGGCATTTGTGTCTTATCTAAGAACCCATTGCCAAATCCAAGACCAGCAAACTTTACTCATAAGTTTTCTTCGAATAGTTTTCTAGTTGTAGCTCTCATTTTAGGTCTTTGATCCATTTTGAGTTAAATTTTGTGTATGGTATGAGGTAGCGTTCCACCTTCATTCTTTTCCATATGAATATCCAGTAGTCCCTGCATCATATATTGAAAAGACTATTCTTTCCCCTTATTGAATTGCCTTGGTATCCTTGGCAAAAACAATTGGCCATACGTGTATGGGTTTGTTTGTGGATTCCCAATTCCAGTTTATTGATATAAAAAGTTTTTTTTAATGAATAAATTATTTTCCCTGAAGTCTAACCTTGATCTAACCCTGAGTAGAATCCATGTCACTTTGTCCACAGTTATGAACTAATTTAAGTGGGGTACCATGGGTCCTTATTTAGGAAAATGAAGCTGATTAATGGGTCTCCAGGAAATGAAGAATGGGAGGTGTGGTGGTTGATGTATTAGAAAGAACTTTGGATTAGAATTAGCAAGACCTGGGTTTGAATGCTACTTCTATCCAAAGCTATGTGACTGTGGGCAAGTTACTTAACTTTTTTGAGTTTTAGCTTCTGTGAAATGGATTACAGCAATTTCACGGGGTTGGCGTTGGCATTAAGAGACAAAGATTGTAAAAATGACGGCATAATCCCTATTACACAGTAGATACTCGATATAAAGTAGACTCGGTCCATGCATGGTCTTGTGGCTCCCTTCCTTCTGACGCAGGATGGTTATGTGGGGTTAGGAGAGATGGACGACTCAGTGGGTGTCTATGCCAGTTCTCACAGTTTTGCTCCTGTCTCCTACACTGTGTAGCAGTTCTGGTTCCTCTTCTCACCTTTTCTGTCAGAGGAAGTATAAAGGATGGGTAAAGAAGGGGAAAATGGCTCTCCACAGACCACCTTCCTGAGCAGGTTTGAGGGAAGACCAGTAGTGAACCACAGTAATTAGAAACTAGTCATAGCCTGTTTTATGTATCTAGAACTTTATTTTTTTTTCAAATTTTTAAATTTAATTTCTAGTAAGTTAACATATAATGTAATGTTAGTTTCAGGAGTAGACCTTTATTTTTAGAGACAGCATAACTACATGCAAAAGTTTTGCCAGTGTAGAACTGGGTCACAACTAAGGGAATCCTTTCTGCTTGGATCAGGGACTCCAGGTCAGGTCTCTGGTTTACGTTGTTGTATTTCCCAAACTGTAAGGAGGAAGAGGAAACAAACCATTCCTGTTCTAAACAAGTCTTCTAAGCCTAAAGCTACATAGTATGGTGTCACTAAGGCTTGGGAGAAAGAAGCAGTGGTGTTCTTTGTCTTCTAATTCCTTTGATCAGAGAGCTGGTTGGAGTCATGGGGCAGAAAAGATCTGCGGATTCACAAGAGTCTGCTTTCTAAAGTTGGTTGTTCCCTACTCTTCCTCTGCCCCTCTGGTTCTTTCCACCAAGTGAGATCCATTAAGTACTTGCTGGCTTGTTTGGCCTTTCTCACGCCTGAGATCCTCCTCTCTGCCCAAATTCTTCCTCCTGGGTAGCCCTATCTGAATCCCTCAATGTTCTAGGAGTTTAGTAATGGGGGGGATCTAGTTCCTGTTATATGATTATCAGCTCCTGGGTCTCAGGAAGGCCATACTGAACTTTGTGCTGGTCAAACAGCTTGCGCAGGGCACTGATGTAGAGTGCATGGTACTTGTCCACAGTCGTCTCGTCTGGCCTCTTAATCTTGGGGATTGGCAGGGGTTCCCCGACTATGGGGAAGGAGAAGAAACAAGCATCAGAGCCTCCCCTCCCCAACTCAAGTTACCCATCCCTCAGAAGGAGCCACATACTGAAACTCAGTATCCGTGTCCCCTCCTCTTCCTTTGTTCTTTCCCTGTGCTCTAGCTCCATCTCATCCCATATTCTGCAAATATCTAATCTCATCCATGCTGAAGAGAATGATAACAAGCTCAGAAGAGTGATGGGAAGGAATGTTTGTGAATAAAGATGCTCTCATGGCAACTATTAAAAGGCCACAACTATTATCTGTTCAGTTGTTCTGCCCACCCTGCCCTCAGTCATACTCCTTGGAATTCCCACTGCCCATCCCAGCTGTTTGCTGGGCCTCGGGGACTTGATGGATGACCTGGGTGGGGGGAATCAACAACAAAGGTGGTCGTAGTTATTGGAAAGCTTACCAACAGTAGTAATGGGCCGATTGAAAGGAAGGAAGCCCCAGGATTCTTGAGTGAGGCCCCGGCCATGGAAGGTACAAAAATTTAGTCCCAGGATTTTTTTGAACGTGGCCTGGAAGGTTTTTTGGAAGAACCGTATCCATGTGCCTTCAGGGAAGATCTCTTGATTGTGAACCTCATTCTCTCCAAAGGAATAGGAAGGGACAAGGTACGCTCTGCAAAGAAAGGAGCAGAGTATTAACTCTCCGAGGGAGCTCCCCCCAGCAAAACCCTCTCCAAGGTATGAAACCTTCTAATCTCCCCATTATAGAACAAGAACCCAAGCACCCAAACATCTTCAGCTTTGTGTCTCACTCTTGCCATGCCCCACCCTTCCAACTGAACCCTTCACAGGGAACTGCTGCACCTTGTCCTCTGATAGGAAAAAAATAATCTTAGGCAATCTAACTGTTTTCATTGCTCCTAGCATCCAGAATGATCTTCCTAAACTGTGTATCTGGACATGTCATTCTTTTTAAAACTCTTCCAGATCCTCACTCTGTATTGTGCTGCTTACCATGGCTTTTGTGCTCTAGCTTTTGTGCTAGTTTCCCCTCTCCCCGCCCCTTTCTTGCAATCTGCTTAACCATACTAAGTGTGCCAAGCTGTTTCTTGTCTACGCTTCTTCATACATTCTGCTCCCTCTGCCGGAAATGCCTTCCTTCTGTTTTCACATGGCTAATTCTATTTTGCCCTTCAATGCTCAGCTCCAATTTCAATCTCTTGAAGAAACCTTTTTTTGACTGCCTCCAACTCCCTCCCCCACAATATGAATTAGGTACCCTTCAGCTTATCTTTCTCCACACTAACAATAGTCTAACTCAGTTATTACGGTTACCTCCTTACCTGTCTGACTCCCTAGTTGTCTGTCAAGCTGATCAAAGATGGGAAATTTGTCATTCATCTTTGGATCTCTAGGTCCTCGCATAGTGCTTGCTATGTTGTAGGTCCCCTGAATTCTTTCTCCCTTTTAGCCTGACTGGCAACTCCTACTAATATTTTAGCTCACAATTCAGATGTCACTCACTTATGAAACTTCTACCTTGAGAGTAAAAATGTTTCCATCAGTTGTTGTTCCCGTAGGACTTTGTACATAACTCTATTACAGCACATCATTCATTTGACAAATATTTATTGAGCTCTTTCTATGCACCAGCCCTGGTTTAAGCCCTAAGGACATGTCAGTGAACAAAATAGATAAAAAAAAAATCTCTTACAGTTTTTCTTGAGGGAGGACAGACAATAAACAATAATAACAAATAAACAAAAAACCAGATATATAAATAAGTAAAATCAATGATATATAAGAAGGTGATAAATGCAACAGGAAAAAATAGAGCAAGATGATCAGGGTAGACCTTATTGAGAAAAAACATTTGAGCAAATACCTGGAGGAAGTAAAGGAATGAGGTAAGCAGTTATTTGGAGGAATAGTGTTCCAGGAAGTGGGGACAGCTAGAGCAAAGAGCTTAAGGCAGGAGCCTGTGGCTTGTTTGAGGGCCAGCAAGAAGTCCACTGTAGCTCTACTAGAGTGAACGAGGAGGAGAGCAGTGGGTGATGAGGGGTAGCTAAGGACCAGATTATTTACGGCTTTGCAGGCCCCCATAAAGACTTTGGCTTTTGCCCAGATTGAAATGGGAGCCTTTGGAGCATTTGGAGTAGTGACATAATTTCACGTTTAATGGGATCATCTTAGCTACGGTTGAGAATAGATTCTAGGATGTGAAGGCAGGTAGAGCAGTTAGGAGACTGTAATAATCCAAGGGATATATGGTGCTAGTTTAAACTGTGGGGGCTTGTAGTTGAGAGGATAAGTGGTTGGCTTCTGGACATATTTTGTAATTACATGTGTGCACTTCTGTTGTTTCCATGGGACTGTCAGTTTCTTAAAGGCAAGGACTGGGTATTATTTATTTTTATATCCTCAATGCCTAGTACTATGCCTAACACACAGAGGTGTTCAATAACTGCTGAATGAATGCATTCTAGTTTTCAAACCAGATTATATGCTCTTTGGGGAAAATAATCATGTCTTATTTATTTTTGCAATCCCCACAGCCTCAAGCCCAGTGCCTTCCCTGCGCTGAGTATGTTTTCTGGGCCTCTCAGTTAGTGGGTTGATATACATTAAAGCTCTGTTTCCCCAGATCCCTAGCTAACTAGGCTAATGGGCAGAAGGTAAAGGTCTTTTCCTACTGTTCTTTCTCCAACTTCAATTAAAAGAAGTGGCTACAAATGTATCTGGAGCCCCAAATACAATTAAGACACAGTGTGAAGGAGCAGAAGGAAGAAACCAGAGTAAAAAGAGAGCCCTTTCTAACAGGTTTAGGGCACAAGAACCTGGGGACCCACCCTGTCTTCAGTGCCAACTTCACGAAACCTTTCCGTTCTTTAAGGTAGATGGTAGAGGCGCCTGGCTGGCACAAGAGGGCTTCAGCAGCTCCGCCCACCACAATAACCACAGCGTTGCCTGAGGCTTTCTGGGTCAGCAAATACTTCAAGGCCAAGCCACTCACTGGACACACACCTGTGAAACCAAAGAGTTAAGTGGCATAGCAAACTTCGTACCTGAGATTGGGGAAAGGGGTTCCTCTGGGCTCTTCATGCTGGAGACAGTTCTGTTTCCTGACTACTGTTGTTTCCACTCTTCTGTCTTTGACCTCCACTTCCTGGGTTTGCGCTATCCTGAGGTTGGTCTTTAGGGTCAGCTGCTTGCCTTGTGGAAGGGTCTGTGATATTACAACTGCACCTACATTGAGTTCCTCTGCCTGCTGCCTCTTAGATCAATAGTATCTACTCTCCCCAGTCTTACAGCTCTGGAAACTGTCCAGAGGTCTCTCTCTCTCAGGGGTGATCAGGACTAGCCACTAGCCACCACTGACCTTCTGCTTTCCACTTTGGCTTTGATCCTGGACTCCAGCCTTCTGCTTCTTTTTCTGAAAGGATTTCTGGCAACTCTCATAACTGCCTATAAATTATCTTACTGGCTGACTAAATCCTACCACCCATATCTTAGATAGAATATGCTGCGTGGCTGCATACTCTTGTTACTGGCCCAGTGTGTTCTGGACTCATTTTCTACTAAGTCTTCTCCCAGCAGGATGTGAGATGTGGACTGTCAGGGCTTATTGGGGTTGGAGCTCTGAGGTGGGTCAGAGAATGGAATGATTTCTTATACTCACTCACCCATTGACATCACATAGTCTCGCACAATTGGGATCCAGAAGATCCATTCCAAGGTTCCTACAGAAGGAGTGATGGCTGGGAAAATCCGAGCAAAACCAGTGGCCTCAGTAGCGAAGTTGATGAACACACCATAAGAGACAATGCCATGGGGGTGATTGGCAATGATATAGTTGTGTTTGGGAGAGAGGTTGTGAGTCTTCACCAGCTGTTAGAGGGAGATTAAGCCAGGGTGGCAGATAGGAAGAAGGAAGAGAGGACGTGTACAAGCAGGTATCCTGTGTTCCCCTTGGGGAACCCCAGATCCCTGTTCTTTGAGATATCTTCATTGTCATAGGATTGCCAGGGGTTATGATGCTCAGAGAGGCTGACCTGGGTTTGCCACTGTGAAGACAGGCTGTAATCCCTCCATCTCCCCACCTGCTCATCCATCTTGGATGTCTAACCTGCATTACGCTTCTGGGCCTTCACTTTCACTGTTGGTCACTAAAGCCTTTGAAAACATGGAGCTGAGAGGGGAGAGTCTGGGCAACAAGAACCAAGGGCACTAAAAAGAAGGGGAGTTACCTTTATTGGGAAATAATTTTGGAAGTACTTCCAGAGGGTCCAATTTCGTACCCAAGCTGAACGCCTACCACCTGTGGGTACAGAAGGGAAGGAAAGAGCAGGTGAGATACTGCCAATCCCTCAAACCTCTTCCAGAGGTGGAGGGTTCTTCTTACAGCCCTTGGGTCAGAGAAGAGGTCCTCTGTACACAATTCCATATTTCTAGATAGGTAATGTCTCTGAATCCAACCCCCAAGAAGATCTAGAAGGCCCCTGATCCCCTGTAGCCAGCCATGAAGGTGATAGAAAGATATTCCAAGTTTGGGAGCACCTGTCTTAAAACCTCTTAATCCTTCTTGGGAAAACTGGGAGAGATCTCTGTTCCTTGCTAAGCTTTGGTCTCCTCTCTCCTTCTCCTTCCCTCTACCTCTAATTGTTTCTTTCCATCTTTCCTGCCCTCTACCTTCCTACTTCTTTTCCTTTCCCTTTCCTTCTGTCCTCTTCCCACCCCTTCTCTCTCTGCCTCTCCCACTCTCTCCCTCCATTTCTCTCTCCCTGTGGTTCCATCCTCAGCACACACAGGGACCACCACTCTTCCTCTGTTTCTTACCTTGACTGTGGGTGTTCCAATCATAGGCGAGCCAGGCTAAGGCAAGCACAGACAAGATCCAATATTTAGTGAACACCAGAAAGTAGGGTATAAGCAAAATAGGAATCGCTCCTGAGGGGACACAAAGGTTCAGTTTCCTTCAGTTTCCTTCAAGTTTAATATAATTCTAACTCCCATCTCTGCTCTATACTGAAGGAGGAGATCAAGGCTGATGTGAGACCCTTCTCTCCCTTTTCCCTCACAACCCCTCCCAACTCTGCTATAGTCCAGGCCCACCTCGGAGTCCCTCGGCCTTATTCCCTTTGGTGGCTAAGATCTTAACTGAGGAAATGGCATTCTCAGAGCAGGCCCTCAGCTGGGGTCAAATGACAGCACTACTTGGCAAGAGGCTTGGCAAGAACAGCTCCTGGAAGCAGTGACTGACATCCCCATTCTGGAACTTCAGGAATTCTTTTCTAAAAGCTTGACCCTCCTTTGTTTGTGGAACTGCTAAGTCAGTGCATACCAGCAGAGAGGGCTGCCTGCAGTATTACAGGCTGCTTGATGCTGAGAAGAAAACACGTATTTAGAAAGTGCTTTACTAGGTTCAGTTTTGTCACATTCAAAAAGTCTCAAAAATCCAGAAGGGGGAATATTATCTCTGTTAGCAAAGGGCCATAGTAGGCTTTGAAATGTAAACTTGATACATCTCACAGCAGTGGGAATTAAATTCCATTTTAAAATCTGTATTCATGGGGTGCCTGGGTGGCTCAGTCATTGGGCGTCTGCCTTCGGCTCAGGTCATGATCCCAGGGTCCTGGGATTGAGCCCCGCATTGGGCTCTCTGCTCAGTGGGAAGCCTGCTTCTCCCTCTCCCACTCCTCCTGCTCGTGTTCCCTCTCTCACTGTGTCTCTCTCTGTCAAATGAATAAATACAATCTTAAAAAAAAAAAAAGAAAATCTGCATTCATGAGAAAAAGGGGCTAAATACACATATTGTGAAAGAAAAAAGACCCAGCTAAGGGAATGACTTCTTGGGCTGGGTAACCACATCATGGTAGATAAAATTTCCAGAGAAGGAAAAGAAACTCAAGAGTTACTTAGCAGTGGGTTTGTCTCTTGCATTTTGGACATAGAGGGAAACAACAGGAAAAAAGATGGAATGGGCCTTTCTTTAAAAGTCATGTGATGGAGTAAAAGAAACCTTAGTGATAGGCTGAATTCTCTCTGCAAGAGCTGGCTGAGATGGTTGTTATAATTACGCTAATTAAATAAGAAATAGTCGTGGGAGGAATTTCACAGGAAGCTTTCCATAGCGAAATGTCCTGCTGCCTCTGACCCTCCAAAAAGATGAGAGTAATGTGCCAGGTAAGCTTCAGAAGAAAACTCAGCAAGAATCATTATTAATTAAATGTAGCCTAAGTGTATCATTTCCTTTATGTCTTGCTTCAAATAAATTTTGTTTGTCTCCCCAGTATTTAGAACCATGCCTTGCACGCAGTAGGTGTTTAGCAAATATCTATAGACTGGCTGAAAAATAAATGTTTTCTCAATAATAGGTAAACTCAAATGATAAGTGTTTAAGCAGCATTTGTGTTGTTTAAATGTGATGCTATCTAAATCATAGATGGATTGTGTGCCTTATATCTGGTCTCTTTCTATTATTCACAAGTAATGGGAGTCTAACCAAGAGCTATACTTCCATAAACACTATCCCCCTTGTGGAATCTATTTGAACTGCAGGTATGGCACCTCAGGAGACCACAAATGTCCTTTGAAGACAAGCCCGCCAAACACAGCCTGTCTGAGAATCACTGGTGTCGCAGTGACAGAAGTGCGATTTAAAGAGATAAGAGAAACAGAGGCCAAACGTGGAAGAGCTAGAGCTCATTGAACAAGGAGTTCTGTGACACACAGAAAGCAAAGGTGTCTGAGGCAAGAATGATGAAGAACAACCATTTGCGTGGATGTATATATGATGCATTCTTAGATATAATGGCCTTGACACCAGGAGAGGCTTCCAAAATCTTATCTGTTTTCAAGCGAGAAGCCTTAGTGTAAATTATCAAGGAAGATGCTCACATAAGGCAGGCTCTAAATTTAGTTTGTACTGAAGATGGCCAAGCCATTCTAATAGATGTGTAGTGTGGTATCTCATCATAATTTTAATTTGCATTTCCCAAACATCTAATCATGCTTAACAGCTTTCCATGTGCTTCTCTGCCTTCTGTATATCCTCTTTGGTGAGGATATATTTATTTCACTTTGGTCCATTTTTCAATTGGGTCTTTTTGTTTTGTTTTTACTGGTGAATCTTAAGAAGTCTTTATACATTCTGGGTACAAGTTCTTTGCTGGATATGTGATTTGCAAACGTTTTCTCCCAGTCAATGTTTATTTTTTTATATTGTTCTCTTAACAGGGTCTTTCGTAGAGCAAAAGCTTTTAATTTTGATGAAGTCAAGTTTATCATTTTTTCCCTTTACAGATTGTACTTTTGATGTAAAAATCTAAGAACCTTTTACCTCACTTCAGGTCGTGAAGGTTCCCTTCTAAATTTTTTATTAGAAGTTTTACAGTTTGTGTTTCACATTTATGTCTGTGATCTATTTTGAGTTATTTTTTTACTAAGATTTGAGGTTTTGATCGAGATTCATATAGTACATATGGATATCCAGTTGTTCCAGCATCATTTGTTTAAAGGACTGCCCTTCCTCCATTGAATTACTTTTGCATCTTTCTCAAAGATCAATTGGCCATAGAGGGCTCAAGATGTGGTGTAGAAGGATCACCTTCTCCCATGAACATAACTCTACAGCTACACAAAGAACAATTCCTTCTGGAAAGGACCTTAAAGCTAGTTGAGCAGAGCCTCCAGGACAAAGGATAAAAAAGCCACCTTGATATACGTAGGAGAGGTGGAGACACAGTCTGTAAAGAAACCCCCACATTCGGGAGCAGTGACCCACAGTTGGGAGGGAGGTCTTATAATCTAGAGCTCATCCCTGAAGAGTGAAGTGTTTTTGCCTCCTTTCAGGCCTCCCAAACCTTGAGAACTGCACCAGAAAGATGAGACCCTGGAGTGTCTGGTCTTAAAAACCAAGGTTTACTTCAAGGAGAACCAATGGAAGTGCAAATGGAAAGTTCACTCTTAAAAGGGCTTGCACACAGACCTGCTTGCCCTGGGACCCAGCACAAAAGCAACAGTTTGAAAGGCGCCTGAACAGAATGTGGAAGAGACTCATGTTTTAATCTTAAAGCATCTGCTGGAGAAAAAGAAACCTGTTTAGATGCTCTCTAAGGATGGAGGCACCACTGGGTGTCATTTTTGAGTTCTCCTGCTTTGTTGGTGTTGGGACTAGCAGGTGACTTTTCACAACCTGCCTCTAGCCTGCTCGCTCCAGTGGAACTGTCCCCCACCACCTTCCATGCATTGCAGGTGCAGCCTACCCCACTGCAGTTGGGCTGGCCAAGTGTCCCACCCACATGAGCCACAGTCGTGGCCCACCAAGCCACGGCCAGCAAGCACATGCAGCCCATAGAAAGGACACTCCTTGAGCACCTGGCTGTCTTGGTCAGGAGAAATGCATTTCTGGGCCTCATGAGTCCAAACCAATTAGAGAGATAGTCTTTGGCACAGGGCACTGCACAAACAGCAGACTGAAACAAAACCCTAATCTTCATTGAAAAAGTTTTATTTTCTTGTCCCTAAGCTTCATACTGAGGGGCAGGCTTCAGGTTTGCCACACATCCAGGGGCTACAGAGGAACTCCCCCAGGGAATATGGACAGGAAGATGCCATGTTAGTGGCCTCCCTTGTCTTCCCCACAGCTGGCTGATACCACTCAGATGGGAGCTTGAAGTCTAAAGCCACAATTTTTGCAGCTGTTGACCAGAGGACACCTCCAGAGCTTCTTGTCTGGATATCAGTAGGGTTTATATTGTAGACTCACAAGACTGTCTATATTTGCCTACCTTAAAAACTGTTGCCTGCGGATCTGGCTTGTAATTAACCTGAAGCTAAACTGTCCGAGGTCTCTCTCTTTGGGACACTGACAAGTGTTGGCCTTCCCTCAACAACTGGAACCTATCAAGAAAAAATCAAGGTAGTTAAACAATTAAAAGGTCTGAGGAATAATCAAAAGATAAAGGATTAATTAATTTAATTAATCTCCCACAAAAGGCCACTTTTTCAAGACTGGGAGAGATAGCTGTTATACAGAAACAATCATGGAGGGCGAAGCAAAATGAAGACAGAGGAATATGTTCCAAGTGAAAGACTCACTTTCCTCAGGGGAAAAAACCTTAAAACTAAAAACCCTTAAAAATGGAGATAATCGGGGTACTGGTGGCTCAGTGGGTTAAGTCTCTGCCTTGGGCTCAGGTCATGATCTCAGGGTCCTGGGATCGAGCCCTGTATCGGGCTCTCTGCTCGGCAGGGAGCCTGTTTCTCCCTCCCCCTCTGCCTGCCTGTCTGCCTACTTGTGATCTCTCTCTCTGTCAAATAAATAAATAAAATCTTTTAAAAAATTTTAAAAATGGAGATAATCTACCTGATAAAGAATTCAAAGTAAAGGCCATAAAGATGCTCATTGAACTTGAGAAGAATGAACAAACACAGCGAGAGTTTCAACAATTAGATAGAAAACATAGTAAAGTACCAAACGGAAGTCATGGAGCTGAAGAAAACAATAACTGAACTGGAAAATACAGTAGAGGTGTTTAACAGCAGACTAGGTAAAGCAGAGTAAAGGATCAGTCAATTTCACAGGGCAGAAAAACTAACACCAAGCATTAAAAAGAAAAAAAATTGAAAACAAGTAAAGGTAGCTTAAGGGATTTATGGAACAATATCAAGCAGACTAACATTTTCATTATATGGGCCCCAAAAGGAAAAGAGAGAGAGAAAGAGGAAGAAAACTTATTTGAGAAAATAATGGCTAAAGAATTCCATAACCTATGGAGGGAAATAGACACTCAGCTCCAAGAAGCAAAGAGTTCCAAATAAGATGAATCCAAAGAAATCTATACCAACACACATTATAATAAAAATGCCAAAAGTTAAAGATAAAGAGAGAATATTAAAAGCAGAGAGAAGAGCCAAAGTAATCTTGAAAAGAAGAAAAAGGCAGG